GAAGGCGGGGCGGAGGAAGGCGGGGCGGAGGAAGGCGGGGCGGAGGAAGGCGGGGCGGAGGAAGGCGGGGCGGAGGAAGGCGGGGCGGAGGAAGGCGGGGCGGGGAAGGGGAAGCAGGCTGCCGCTGCCACTGCCACTCCCGCCCCGCCGTGCGTGTCTTCCTGGTCCTGCTCCTCCTCCTCCCTCCGCTCCCCTGCGGACGCGGGTCTGCGCGCCCGCCAGCACCAGGTGAGAGCTCGCAGCTTGGGCCCGGGGTTACGGGGTGCCCCGGCGGTCTAGAGCCCCTCCCGGGCCGGGCAAATGGAGGAGCGCGGCGACGGTGGGTTGAGAGGGCAATCGGTTTACTAATGAGGGGAGTCTCATCCCCTCGAGCCCCTGGGACGGGCTGAGAACGCGCACACACACGCATACACACACACGTGCGCACACCTGCCACTAGATTTGGTAAAAGGGTTACCAGCCCCATCCCACACCCAGACCCTGCCCCTTCTTGGGAAACCTGGTTGGGGTGTCTCCAAACCCCCCCTCAGGATTATTGAAAACGGGTGCCTCCCCCCGGGTCCTTCTTCTCTACCGAGGACCCCCTCCCGCGTCACTGCAGAGAGGGGAGCTCCAAGCACCAAAGGTGGATTCTTTTCCCCAAATTAATGACAGGGTCGTCGACTTCCTCCTGAGCTTCCATTTCTCAGTCTCGGCGTTCTCTCGGGCGCGGAGCCCCCTCTCCACCTGCATTATCCCCCTTCCCCCTCCCCTTGGATCCCAAGAAACTGGGCGCCCCCCGCCCCCTTACGTCTTGGAAGGCTGAATGACTGGAACCATATGGGGAGCGGGAGGCTTGGGTAGTCCCGAGGCGCCCCGCAGTTCCCTTCCGCCGGCTTGAGATGCGACCCCTCCTCCTCCCAGCTGGAACGTTCGGGGTAGCCGTTTACCCCCAGGAGGGGCGGGGGTGGAAGAGCCGGAGGTGTTTTGGGGGCTGGTTGGCCGGTGATCTCTCTGTTCGGCGCGGAGAAGGCGGGGACGGAGCAGTGGGGCGGGGGGAAACACACTGGTGGGCTGCACGGGCTTAACGGGTTGTCGCCTTCCCTCCTCCGGAGACTTCTCAGTGCCTGGGAGACACCCTCCCAGGAGTGAGTGACAAGGGGGTCTGGGGATTGGTGGCCAGGTGGGTGCATTTGACGGCTGGAGAGCGGGAGAGATGGCATTCTACCCACTCTCGCCCCCGTCGGACTCCCCAAACCGATCCGGGTGGCCCCTGGGTTTCCCAGGCCTCAGGAGACCCATAAGGGGAGCTGGGCTTGTTTCTGCCGGTTGCAGAGATGAGATTAGGGAGCTGAGTGCTGGGAACATCCCAAATTCAAGATCTGTGCCAACTGCAGCTTCACACACAGGATATGGGGTGGAGGGGTAAGTCCTCTGTTCCAAGGGGTTCTGTTTCACAAAAGGGATTGCAGCAGAGGATCTCTAGCCGGGCTGATTAAAACGTGCTTTATAATTTGTTTACTAGACTCTGTGATGTTAGTAGATAACCTCCCCAACTCATAATTAGTATGTGGGATATTCAATATGGTAAATAAATGTGAGCGTCTCTCAGTTAATTTTGTCCACTGTGACAGAATCTTTTAGGCATTTGTACTACAGGTCAGGAGGTCAGTTGTAAGGGAGAAATGGAGACGATATCTCTGTGTCCAGCCCTACAGTGGTTGTTTTGGGAAATATAAAGTAGGAACGATGTATTTGTTTATATGAAAATCCAAGAAGGGTTAAAAAAAAATAGATATCTAATTTAACAAATTGCTTTTATTAAAAATAAATACTTATGTGAGATTGGGACAGTCCTGGAAATTCCAGGCTGTTGTGTCACAGAGTGTAATTGTGGCAAGCTCTGCTCCTGAGACACCTCTCTCCTTAAGGGGAAGAGAGTTACACACAAGTAAATAGAGAATGATTTATGGCACAATGCAATTGGGAGCCAACCTGTTTAGTGTGGGTGTAAGTAAGGAAATCAGCCACCATCACTGTTGTTTGAGGAGGGCCTTCTGGAAAAAAAAAAAAGACAATAGGATTTAAAATAGCGTATTCAGCTTTCTTGCTTTATTCTATATTCTTTTCAGCATTTTGTCAGGCTAAAAAAATATACATAAACTCTCAGAGATAATACCATTAACATTTTGTTGTGTGTCCTGAATCTTTTACTATAGGATATACACATAAAATATGTATGTTTATGTAACCATATGGAGTAGTTTCTAATTTTTTTTCACTTATCATGGACACATTTTCATGACACTAAGTAGCCACATTATCATTTTAATGATTGTACAGTAGTCCATTATATGAATTTATCATTATTAAACCAATTTCCTGCTAGTGGACAGTTAACTTCTTTTATTGTTTTGCTATTTATTATATATTATAAACAGGGATGCACTGCCCATCCTTTTGATACATTTTGGTGTACTTGTTTGATTATTTCCTTCAGATTCCTGGAAAATAAACTGTTCGATCAAGGTGTGTGCAATTTGAGATGTTGGTAGATATTGCCAAGTTACCCTCCATTTGCCCGCCCGCCATCAGTGTGTGAGGATAGTAGAAGCTGTCGTTGGGTTAGTTGGGTGAAATCACTAATGGTTTAAGAAACTTTTTGTTTCCTCCAGTGACAGCGAGAGACAGGCTGACATGAGAGATTCGGCTGTGCCCTGCGCTAGAGAGCTTACTGGTAGAAGAATTAATCCCTGAAGAGACTGAAGTGAGTTTCAGGATGGCCAAAGAGGAGCCCCCGAGTATCTCAAAGGACTTGCAGGAGCTGCAAAGGAAGCTGTCTTTGTTGATAGAATCCATCCAGAATAACTCGGAGGTACGTTTCCAGTCAGTATGTATAATGGAAAAATCCCAAAATAACACTAGCTTGAACAACATGTAAAACTATTTCTCTCTTAAGTAGAAGAAATTTGGAGGTAAGTCAGGAATCTTTCAGGCTCACTACCCTACCATGTCTAAATTGTGACCTTCAAACTCATCGTTCAAGATGGCTGCTAGAGCATCTGCCATTGTATCCATATTCCAGGCAATAGGATGGAAGAGAGAGGGAAGAAAGGCTTGCAAGCCACCTCCAGTTTGAGGAGAGTTCCTGGAAGTCAAACACACAGCACTTCCAATTACATCTCATAGACCAAAATTTAGTTGGGTGACCACCCCTAAGCAGCAAATGCAATTCTTTAGCGGGATATAGAGCGGAGAATCTCAGTCTGTGCAGCAGATACCATTCTTTTTTACTTTTGTTGTTAATTTTGGTTTATCTGTTACCCTGAAAATGACAGGCCAAAGCCTACCTTAAGATTTGAATCCAGTGTTCTGCTAGAAACCCAGTGTCCAATAGAAATATGGTGTGAGCCACATAGGTAATTTAAGATTTTCTAGTAGCCACATTTAAAAAGTGAAAAGTAGCAAGTGAAATTAATTTTAATAATGTATTTATTTAACCTAATAATCGAAAATATTATTTCAACATGTAATCATAAAAAATTAATGAAAAAATTTACTGAGATTTTTACATTCTTTTTTGTCCTAAGTCTTTGGAGTCCAGTGTGTATTTTACACTTACAGTACATTTCAATTTGAACTAGCCGCTTTTCAGGTGTTGAACAGCCATTCAGTGGTGGTAGGACTTGAGATAGTATATTCCCCTTTAACTTGCATATTTATCTTTATTTCTTTCTTCTCTATGCCTTTCAGCATTTGTCAGGGAAAAAAATAACAGCTCTCAGAGATAATATTATTAACATTTTGTTGTATGTCCTTCTACAATTTTTGCCTGTGTGGTATATCTCTAAATGTACATATGTATAAATAGCAAAATGAACTGTTTTGGGATCTACTTTTTTGTATTGGACAGCACAGTTCCACTAGGATCTATTTGAAGAGAGACCACTTTGCGGTCTAGAGCAAAAGACTCTATAGAGAACTTTTTCTGGACTCATCCCAAAATGCCTCTGGCGCTCTGTAGATTTAGGGAGCTATTTTTAAATTGGACAAGCAGCTTTCTAGTCAGCAGGCTGAGACTCTTGTTACTGAAAGTTAGCTCGGTAAGAAAGGTCCTCATGCCCATCTGCATGTACAGTTGCTTCTTTCATTCATGGTGGTTCCGTTCTATAAAGTCACCTCAAACACCAAATTAGCAAACAGTGGGCCATTGCTCCTAGAGGAAATACACGATTAGGTTCTGGCAAACTTCCGGTCACATTTTCATCACCCGATCAATACATAACCTTTTATGTGTATTTATGTGTTTTATATGTGTTTCTGTTTTAAAGACACCTTATTTAACATATATTGTTGATTCACTAACATTGAACTCATGGCCAACTCATTCACTGTAACTCTTGCCTGAAGGAAGCTTATCTAACACATGTATTGTCTCTGTAACGTACATCCCAGCGTTCTTACACTTAGAAGCACTAGACAGTACTTTTCACATGGGTGCCTTTTTAAATGGCAAAATCATCAATAAAAAACATAAAAATGCAGAGCCAGGCTGGTGGCGTAGTGGTTAAGTTCGAGCACTCCGCTTCAGGGGCTTGGGGTTTGTGGGTTCGGACCCCCGGTGCAGACCTACACACTGCTTATCAAGCCATGCTGTGGCGGCATCCCATATAAAGTAGAGGAAGATGGGCATGGATGTTAGCCCAGGGCCAATCTTCCTCAGCACAAAAGAGGAGGATTGGCAATAGATGTTAGCTCAGGGCTAATCTTCCTCAAAAAAAAAAAAATGAATAAATAAAAATGTGGAAAAGGTGGCGCTAAATACACCACGAAAAAGACAGTTGTTTAAAGAGCTGAAACAAGAAGGCAAATTGTCACCGAGTTGGATCTCAGCTGGAAATGTGTGTGTCAGGTGACTCAAGTTTTTCACTGCTGTGCACATGTCCAAGAAAGCACTGCAAGTGTTGATTTTGGAGTTACAAATCAATTTTAGTGAGTAGGCGAATCCGCAAATGTGGAATCTGCAAATAATAGGAATTGACTGGGTGTTAATTAACCTTGGTTGAGCACTTACTATATGCCAAGCACTGTGCTAGGCATTTGGGATGTCTTCACTTAATATTCATATCTACTTTCTGAAGTAGGCATTTCAAAGCATATGAACTCTGGCTTCTTGGCATTTCTTTACTTCTTCATCTTAGATCCTCAGCCATGGTCATTGGAATAGATCTGAACTAGATAACTTCCAGGCCAGCAAACTCACAGAATGATGGGACAGATTATCAGTTGGCTTAGTCCTGAGGTAGAGTAGTTTCTTTTCAAATTTTTTATTGTATTAATTGAATTAATATGAATTGTATTAACTCAGTAGAGTAATGTTGGAGGAAAAAGGAAAACAATTCACCTGTAAACCCATCACTAAAAAATCCTGTGGTGGTGATTATTATTATCATTATTAGTATTATTATTAGGCCCATTCAGCATGTAATTTTTATATATGTTGGTTATAATTATGGCAGATGTAGTTCTGTATTTTTATTTTTGCTTGATATTATATATTGGTGTTTTTCCATATTGAAGCGTAGGTCTTCAGAATGATTGCTTTTCTTGGTAGTAGAACTTTCCATCAGATTGACATACTGTAATTTACATAGCCATCCCCTTGTTTCTGGGATATTTAGATGATGTCTTTCCCCCAAGTAATTTTTAACCTTTACTCAGAGTTAATAAGCCCTTTGAATTCCAGATAAGAATAGATGGCTTCCAGATGGAGTTTGTGAAACAAACTCTTCTAGGAAGCCTCTGGAATGTCAAGTCTTAATGGTCTTACTTTTAGACTTAGAGAGTCAGAAACCTGCTCAAAATAGCTTAAGTAAACAAACAGATGGTGGCACCTGCCAGGACTTTTGGGACCTTGCCAGGACTTTTGGGAAATGTAGGACTATCTTACAAGCCATGGGCAGGAAGTTTCTTCTTACCTAATTTTTCCTGTGTATCTGCTTCATTCTCTTCTCTCTGCAGCCTGGCTTCCTTGGCTCTTCCATTTATGTGAGCAGACATGATTGTCCAGGCTAGCGCTTTCAACTCCCCATGTCTCCCTCAGCTCCCAGCTGAAGCCCTCTGAGGGACCTGGTTTGGGACGGCCCGATTCCTAGGAGCAAGAATCTGCTTGACCAAGTCACCTATGGCCAGGGAGGTGGCAGCTGGGCTGGGGCTTTTCATTTCGTTGATATAAACACGGCCTCAAGGGCCTACCCCTGCTGTGGGAGGGGGCCATTTTCAGAGAGGAGGGGAGAGAGGTGGAGCATGGGCTGGGCAGATGCCCCCCATGATGTCTCCTTATGTGGATTATCTGGGACAAAATAGTTTTGCTCCCATCCTGGACCTTTCCTTCCATAAAGGATGTCTTCTAACTGTGACCTCAGGCACCTTTGTGCCAACCCTGAATCATACACCAGTGGGCACCCAGGGACTGTAAGCTGGGAGAAACTGTCACACAGCACCTTGGACTTGTCATTACCAGTGGTTTTAAATAATCCTGACCCCTTGCCCTCCTCCCCTTTGGTAGTAGAGAATAATGGACGCTGATTATCTTTCACATTCTAACACCAGGGAATTGGCTTATCTTCCCAATAGTCACAGATGGAGACTTCCTGTCCTTAAATACTGGCCACGTTGCTCCTACTTTGGAACCTCCCATACTCATGTGTGCATTTTAAAATAAATCACCTTTGTCTGACCTTGGGCAAGTCACTTAGGCTCATTATATCTCCATTTCCTTGTCTCTAAAATAAGCAATAAAGCCAGGCTCATAGGTTTGTTGTGAAGATGATCTCAGATGCTGTTTGAAAAGGCTTTAGCACAGAGCCTGGCACATAATGGTGGCAGTCTGTCCCAGCCTGGCATTCCTGGGCCCTTCAGCACAGTACGGTGCGTGTAAAATCTAGGCTGGATAACCTGTGCCCACTTCCAGGATGGGATGGGAAATCACAGTGCATGTTACTGAATACGCTCTCCCACTTTCCATTCTCCCATTGTGTCTCCCTCTGTTGCCAGGAGAATGAAAAGTTAATTGCTGTGTTCTAATCCCCTGAATTTAAATAATGTTAAGTTGTTCCTTGTTACCTACCTTGGAGCATTGTAGGGAGAAATAAATGAGGAAATAATGTTGAAAGCACTTAAAAAAGTGCTTGGCACAGGAGCATTTAATGAACATTTTCCTTTTTTTTGGGCATAACTGAATCGTGTCCTCCCCTTCTGTGACTGACTGGCCCCCGCAGGGCCATACTTCCTGGGGGAAGACAATTGCTGGGCTTAACTACCCGCATCTTCAAATGGTCTCTCTGCGTATCTGAATGACTTTGTATTTTATGGTTATAGGGCCCAGACTTAGAGGAGGCTAAGAAAAAAGCAGATTCCTTAAGGACTGGAAGTAGAACATGCCTGCTTTTCTCCTCTTGGATCCCCCTGCCAAACTGTCCCCAAGTCCTGTTGACTTTTCTCTTGTCATCCACTTTCATACTGCGTCTCCTCCTCCTCTTCCCTCCCTGCCATCAGCCTAGATTTGGCTGTCTGATTTCCTGCAAATCCTCCTAATTGCCTCTTGCACATGACTGCCAGGTTCATCTTTCTTACATTATTACTTTGATTATATCATAGTCCCTCTCAAATGCCAGCGGTTTGCTTCCTGGCTTTTTTCTAGATAAGGTTTAATGAAGTTTAAAAAACTTATTTGAAACATACCAAACTTCTTTGAAGTGTAATTAAAAATTTTCCAATGACTGAATCAAATATCAGTTTTTAAATTACAATTAAAATTAAATCAGAAATCCTGTTCATCGGTCACACTAGCCACATTTCAAGCGCTCAGTGGCCACATGTGGCTACTGTGCTGGATTGTCAGGGTGTAAACTCCTAAGCTTGGCATGCTGGTGTTCCAGCCTCATCTGCTCCTCCCCACTGTGGGACTGGGTCTCTTGATTATAAGGATCAGAGAGAAGAGTTCAGTCTGTCAGATGACAGCTTGGTGGTTTACTACGGATCAACATGGACTAGAGCTAGAAAGCAGTCGAGACCTGAGACAGCTCTGGGGACCAGCCCCAGTCCCGTGGCCCCTCTGCCTCTCTCTCACCTTCACCCGCCCTAACAGGAGAATCTCACTGTTTTCTCATCTTAGAGTATCTGAGTTGGGCAGTCTCAGCTTACAGGTGATTCCTGGTACAGTCACCTCTGGCTAGAGAAGCTGAATAGCCACGTCTTTTGTCAGAAGGGAGTCTTGGAGGCAGTGTAGCCAGTGGACTTTGTGCCATTTTTTGGCCTGGCAGGAAGTGAAATTTGTCATGCCTCTAGAGTTCCCCCCAGGAGGCAAGGCCGAGGCCCCAAGACCAGTGGTGGTGACTTCTTAGAACAGTGCTTTTCTATTTCTGTGGGGTGCACCCTGTGCTTTGGTCACTGTCCACATAAACTACAAAACCCTCCTGCCTTCCAGCTTGCCCCCAAATTCCCACCATTTGAATCACTTGGGTGAACAGCTGATTCTGGGAGGCACATGTGTTTTGGGTCGTGGCACCTGTGGTCACTGTAGCTTGAATTACATCTTCATTTCAACCGCTGGCCTACAAGGCCCTGAGGACTGAGACACAGGAAGGACGAGTTTTGATGGGGGAGAAGTTCTGAAATGATGGAACCTTTCAAGGGATCAGGAATTAGCATGCCAGTACCGAAGAGAGAGACAGCATGGGGCCTAAGAAGAGGGGGAAAGCCTATCCTTGTGGGGTGCCCAGGGCCAGCTTTGCATTAAAGCCGACATCCTACACTGAGCCAGATCCAAAAACCTTTTTTGCCTGGTGAAGGAAAATACTTATTAATGCAGCATAAGTTTGCAGTAGTCATCAGGCTATGACCCAACCATGGTATCCACGTTGATGACATAGCATTTTTTCCTAATGAGGTGGCAGCCATCGCAAGCATTTGACATTTAGAGTGAAAAGATTTCGCTTTAAATGCCTAGATTTTGCATCTGGGAAGCTGTGTGACTCTAGACGAGTCATGTAGTCCCATTGTTTCTCAGACTTTACTGTGTGTCCAAATCACCTGGGGGCCTCGTTAAAAAGCAGAATTTCATTCAGCAGGTCTGGGGCAGGGCCCGAGATGCTGCATTTCTGACAAGCTCCCAGGTGATGCCAAGTAGCTAGAATCTAACCTTTCTCTGCCCCAGTGGCCTCAACTATGAAAACCTGAGCTGTGAAGTAGGAGGCAAATTGTATGTACGTTGCATCAATGCACACATATGCTGAGAGTGTCTTCTGAGAGGGTGGGTGAAGCAGTAGAGCCGTGACTGAGTCTCTCCTCCTTTCATAAGACCTGAGGTTGGGTGGAGCCCTCAAACTTGCCATCTGTCCATAGCTGCCTTAAGTTGTTGCCAGGGTGACTCATGTCTTGGGAGGATTGTTATCATTGACTTCTTACCTATGAGCCTTCCAACTCTACAACTTCTGGTTATACTTTCTGCAGCTCGGGTGGGTCCATCAACTTGGGATTCACACATGGCATTCAATCTTTGTTCAATCTTTGTTCAATGCCTTGTTCTCCTTTGCCCACAGGTGGTAGCCCTTATGAAGTCTCCAGTGGGGCAGTACCTGGACAAGCATCCTTTTGTGACTCTTACCCTGCTGCTGTTTGCTGCTATGTCGGCCATTCCTGTTGGGCTCTTCCTGCTCCTCGTGGTGCTTACCTTCCTGGCCGCTTTTGTGGGAGTCATATTACTGGAAGGTATCCTGCTCAGTTATTCATCCCCTTGGAAAATGACTCAGTCGGGAGGACAGTATTTATTGGCATCTGCCATTCTTGTCAAAAGTTCCTGTTCTTGTCAAAATCACGTCGACCAAGGCAGCTTGTCAGAGTACGTAAAACATGGACTCAGTCCACATTAGAATCCCATCTCCACCAGTGTGTTTTTGGACAAGTTATTTACCCTCTCTGAGCCTCAACTTCCTCATATGTAAAATGGGGATATAGTAATACTATCACAAGGGGTTGTTTTGAGGATTGAATCTTACAGTTCTGTAATGTATTTAGCACAATCCACGGCCCAGAGTTACTTCTCCGTGAATGCTAATTGTTATCTTTGAACAGGCCATTCACTCCACAGCTAGGTATTGAGCACTTGTTGCAGCCAGGTGCCTTGCTAGGTACTGAGGTGCCCCCTTCTCCACCTTTCCTCCTGAAGTCTCACTGCCAACTGTCAACTTCTCCCTGTGTTGCTAAGTTAAAATTACTGAGAAAGCAAATCTGATTGGCTCAATTTGCCCTTTCAAGTCAGATCACAAACCACAAGATACTGGCCAAAGAGATGGTTGCCATCCAGTCAGGTGGTCGATCACCTCTGGCCCATTCTGTGGCTTCCCAGAACTAAGAGCACCCAGGGTTGTTTCCCTGCCCAGGGGACTGTGAACCAGGCAATTTACATCTGAAGGAGAAGGTGAGTATGGTAGGTGGATGAGCCAAATACAGCCTGGCAGAGTGGTGGTTCTGTGATGGATAGATGGGTGAATGGGTGAATGAGTACAATAACAAAAGTAAATTTAGAGAGAAAGAAGGGAGCCACTACATTTTGGTGGTATCATGCAAGGCTTTAGAGAAGACAGGACTTTAAAGATGTGTAAAAACTTTGTCTCAGGGTGGGCAAGGAAGGGCTTTCTAGACAGAAGGAACAGCATTTGCAAAGCCTTTAGAGCAATGGTTCTCAAACTTGAGTGTGCATAAGTCTTACTTGCTTTTTGAAAATGCGGACTTCCAGGCCTCATCCAGAGATTATTTAGTAGGTCTGGAGTGGAATCCCAAAATCTGAATTTTTTTTTTTTTTTATGAGGAAGATCAGCCCTGAGCTAACATCCATGCCAATCCTCCTCTTTTTGCTGAGGAAAACTGGCCCTGAGCTAATATCTATTGCCAATCCTCCCCCTTTTTCTCCCCAAAGCCCCAGTAGATAGTTGTATGTCATAGCTGCACATCCTTCTAGTTGCTGTATGTGCGACGCCACCTCAGCGTGGCCAGACGAGCAGTGTGTCGGTGTGCGCCCGGGATCCGAACCCGGGCCGCCAGCAGCGGAGCGCACACACCCAACCGCTAAGCCATGGGGCCGGCCCCCCAAAATCTGAATTTTTAACAAGCCTCCCTGATGCATCTGATTCTGACATTGTGGTTGTTGGCTATACTTTGGAAAAACACTGATCTAGAATTTTGTAAATCTCTATGAAAAGGCAGCTCATCCATTTATGTTGTCTGCTTTCCTTCCTTTCCAAGGTCCATCCCTGAAACTGTTACTGTGGCCATGGGGATGGAGTACTGGGCTATCTGACCACTCCCAAGGCGAGGGGAAAGATAAGGGCAATGCACCGCTTGCCTTGCAGTCATGCCCACTCGGGTGATTAGATCACCTCCTTTTTAAGTGATACTGGAAATCTGGGTTTTTATGGGAAATCTCCTCACTTAAGAAATCTGAGTTAACTGTCATTGTAAACACAGTGGCCCAGTGTCCGGCAGCTTTCAACCTGTTTTAGATGAGTCCTTCTAATCGTGCTCTCCCCTAGGACTGGTCATCTCTGTGGGCGGCCTCTCACTGCTTTGTGTCCTCTGTGGCTTGGGCTTCATGTCGCTCATCATATCGGGGACAATCATAGTGTCCTACATGGTGGTCTCCAGCCTCGTCAACTACTGGTTTTCTCCCAGGTAAATACATATCAATGCAATGATTTAATCTTTACCATTTGGGGAGGTTTTCACAAATAATACCCTAAGTCTGGTCAGTGTCTAGAAGCAAAATTGTAAGAAGCGGGTGTTCCTCGTAGTTCTCCATACACATCAGACATCAAATGGGAAGTGACAATGGAGTTGCAAAGAAAAAAATTGGTATGGTCATTTGCCATGCATGATAACTTATTTTGTTGTCATGGCAACTCTATGATGTAGTTAACATTGATTCTTTTTAAAAGATGTCCATTAAATTTACAAAAACTCAAATTAAGATATTTTTCTTGGGGAGGCGGGGGGAACAACAGGAGACCAATGAGCTACCATTCTCCTCAGCATGCGTGTACCCCAGGGTGGGATGGGAGCCATGAATCTGCTCCCCACAGTCTGGCTTGATCCTCTCTGCTCTTCAGAGTGTGAATCTTGTGTTTGAACATATGGATTTTGTTCCTACATTATGGTTCTAAATGCCAGCTACTTCATCTGGGGCCTCCATTGAAGGAGCAGTGATCTATTTAAATGCTGGAGGGGAAACTAGCTGTGTTGAAATTACCGGAAGACAGTATGTCTGTCTATAACGAGCCGCCCTCTTAAGAGGTTTTCAGAAGTGATTTTTTTTTTAAGCTTGATTTTTGTCATTTTGTCCTTGTTAATTTTAGAATCTGAGTCCAAGTGGAATGTGACTCCATTGTGCTTCATTTAAGCTCTTGCTGAATTGATGATAGTGGCTAATACCCATAGTGGCTAATACCCATCCAGCACTTGCTCTGCACCAGGGACTCCGTTATGTACTTTCCAGGCCTTGGCTCATGTAATCCTCACAAGCACCCTCCGAGGCAGGTACTAGCCCCATTCTATGATAAGAAAAATGAAGTCAAGTCCCAAAACAGTGAAGGGACTTATTAAATCCAGGTCAATTAACTCCAAAACTTCTTAACCAAGATATAAAATGACTCTAAAACAGGGATTGGTAAATAATTTCTGTAAAGGGCCAGACAGTAAATATTTCAGGCTTTACAGGCCATGTGGTCTCTGTTGCAACCACCCAGTTCTGCTGCTGTAGCACGAAAGCAACATAGAAAATAAGCGAAAAATGAGCGTGGCTGTGTTCCAATAAAACTTTGTTTACGAAAACAGGCAGTAGGCTGGGTTTGGCCCGAGGACCCATGATTCACCAACACTTGTTCTAAAAGAACCGATGTCCTGAACTTTGTTTTTCTACAGAACAGCCCTTGAACTTCTTAGCAAAAAGTTACCCTGTTGTTACTTATATGTTGAAAAATGAAATGTGAAGTAGGTATAATTGAAGATCGCTCAGGAGTGGTTCTCGTAGGATTGCTGAATTGATATCCTTGGAGTTACATCCAATTTCTCATAAATTGTTTTGATCACTGTCAGTCTTAAAGGAGATAAAAGGAGAAATACTGACCTGTTTGGCTTATTGAGGCTAATACTTCTGAGCCAGAATTCCTCCCTGCCTCTAAACCCTGCTCAGCTGTACCACAGGAAGTCGCAAAATCTGAATACTTGTTTATCAATGAAGAGATTGAGAAAGATATACAAGATTTGTCCTTAATCTCTTTATCCTCCCCTGCTCCTCCCTGCCAATGAATGTGGACCCATTGTTTTCACTAGGGTAGTGGTTCTCAAGCTTTCTGTTCTCAGGACCCATTTTACCTTCTTAAAAATTATTGAGGCTTCCAAAGAATTTTTATTTATGTGGTTTCAATGTATTGATAATTACTGTGTTGAAAATTATAATAGAAATTTGAAAAATATTTATTCATTTAAAAAGAACAATATTACCTATCGATATAAAAAACATAATTTTATGAAAAGTAACAATATTTTCCTATACAAAATGAAATGAGTGAGTGGAACTGTTTTACATTTTGCAAATATCTTCCACGTCTGCCTTCATAAAAGTCAGCTGGGTTCTCATTTGTGTATCTGCATTCCTTCCGTTGTGATTTGGTTTGGTTGCAGTATTTGAAGAAGACCCAGCCTCAGAAATGTGTGGTTCGAAAGGGAAGGAAGAGCTTTTTCAGATGACTGTGTGGATGTTCTTCTTTGATAGAACACCAAAAATCGATGAGTGGTAGTTTATTAAAGGTTGATTGAAATGTGAACTGTTTGTACTTTGTTATATTAAAATCCGCTGGTCTATCTTGTACTTTTATTAGATCTTTTCCCATGCATGATTTTGTAACTTCAAAATTACAAGTTTGTAGTTTTGAACTTTGGAGAATGTTAGTTCATTGAGTCTTGCGGATCTTCCAAATATACTGTAAAAAATTCTGCTTTCCTTTGTGAGAGAATGAGAGTGAAAAAGGCATATAGTATGTTATCATTAAAATAGTTGACACCTGAAGTCCCCTGCACTAGTGGATTCTTTAAAACTCAAGAAACAGATAACTCCCTTGTTAAATGATCCAAAGCATAGGGGGAACAAAGAGCAACTATCCACTTTATTCCATGATGCAAATGGGATTTTGACACTAAAACAAAAGATAACACAACTAAAATTTTTAAAAAAGAAAAAAGGAAACAAAACTTATAAGATGATCTTACTTATGAAAATTGGCTAAACAGTCTTTTGAAGAAATACATTGACCTGCCTCCTATGATGATAAACTAGCTCCTGAGAAGGAAAGACAAAGCTGCTTTGTTAGGGAGTCAGCAAGACCTTCCTGGCCTGCAGTTTGGGGGAAGTGGGGAGCCAGGGCAGCCTGTGTTGTTTGTAGAGCCACCACATCGTTTACCTCACATCACACTCAGTCTCCCAAAGCAACCAGAACATGCCTAGCCTCCTCACATCTCTGCTTAAGAAGAGGTAAGGTTTCCTTCTTAGTTTTGTGTTATTAGGTAGGAATGCTTTGGGTGGCAAGTAATGAAAAACCTAAGTAGATACTAGCTTAAACAAATAGAGGTGTATTTTTATTGCATAACAAAAAGATGGAGATAGCCCAGGGCTGGTACAGCCACTTTGGCAGTGTCATCGGTGTATCAGGCAGCTTCTGCCCTTCTGCATTGCCATCCTTAGCCCATTGGTTTGTCACCTCATGGCCACAGGAAAGCTGCTGGGACTCAGGGTGTACTAACTACAGTCAAGGCAGGATGAAGGGAGAAAAAAATGAGTCCTCCCTCACCAGTTGAGTCAGACCCTTATTATCAAGTGAGTGAAATCTTTCCTAGGACCTCTCCCCATCCTCCCCCAACTGACTTCCTTGGGTAGAATTTTGTCAGATGGCCACTCTAAGCAGGAAGGGAGCCTGGGAGATGGTGTGTTCAGCTTTCTCAGCTTCTGTAGTATAAACCCACAAGGAGAAGGGCCTTGGGAGCGTGTGTTGGTCAGCCAACCTCTGGTGTGTGCCATAGTTTCCCATGGTGGGGGTGTCAGTGATGGCAAGGCTATTTGAAATTCAAAGATCATCCATAGATCCAGTTAATATCAATACCTCCCCTCCCACTCCCTCTAATACCTCCCGCCACAGGAACTGAAAAAGACAGACCTATTTCTCTTCTTTTCCCCCCACCGCTTCCCTTCTGTTGACGATGTCAAGAAATGGTCAACTAATCAGAACCAGAAGATATGGGTCTGAATGCCAGCTCTGCCGTTTTTTAGCTGTGTCATCTTGAACAAGCTGTTTAACTTCTCTGTTCTCAGTTTTCTTTCATTGGTAAAATAGGGCTCCTCCTTGCTCTGCCTTTCACATTGGATTCTCATGAGCACACAGGCAACAATTGGGAAAAACGCAATATCCAAATTAGAGCAGGGGCAAGAAGTGATAATCCCCATCCCTAACTCAGTCATTTTCACCTCTTGTGCTCTCAGTGTTCTCATCTGTAAAATTGGTATAGCCCCAAATCTGATGTGGTTGCAAGAAGCGGCTAAATATAAACCAGCAACAAATGTCATATATTTAGCTATGGACACTCTCAACGTTGCTCTTTAAAGATGCCCTAGAGCTAACCATTTCTTTTTGTTACCACACAGACCATTGACACAACAAAACTCTAGTGGCGACTGTCAGCTGGCTATGAAGACTTAGAGGGGTTCTACCAGGAATGACTGGCTGAACGGAACCAGAGCTTTTTGCCAAGCACTTCTGGAAGGCTGTTGGATCATACACAGCCCTCAGGATTGTGACTGAGAAGGGGGCCAGGTAGTCAAGCGCTCCTTGGAGGTGTCCTCTAGCCTTCTTCACTTGTTTGTAGGATCCTGCAGTGGCTACCTTGGGGATTTTGTTGCTCTTGTGTCAGTTCTGTGGGCTGATCCACCCTCACTTGGAGAGTCTGCAGAGAGCTGCGGTGGCTCATCAGCTCCTCCTGCCTCTCACCCCCTCCTCCCCAAAGATGCAGACTTGACCTTGGGAGGATCCTGAGCCTCTAGAGCCCAGCAGCTTGACCTCAAAGGCTCAGATCTTGTATCCAAGGGCCCAATTTGGGGCAACTGTGGATTGTTTTTTCTTTTTCTTTCTTTTTTTTTTAGAAACGAGAGAAGCTGTTTATTTCTTCACTCATTTGAAACAAGAGAACAAGACATGGGGAAAAAAAAATCCCAAACAGAGCAAGCTCTTCTGTGGTATTAGCTTTTTGTCAGGAAGAATAGCAACATTTGGCAGTAATGGCCTCTCAGACAAAGTTAGAAAATAGAATCCAAACTTAGCTTTATGGCCAAGAGCAATTTTTAAAAGTCTAAAGGTATAGTTTCCACTGTTGAGTACTATTTCATGCTGTTACTCTTTTAAATATTTGCACTTGATACTTTTGTATTGTTTTAAAGAACTTGTCTTGTTAAGCCATTTCTTTAAAAAGTCTTATGAAAATGCTAATGGACTACAAAAATTTTAAAAAACCCTATGGGATTTCTCCTTCAGTGGTTTATTTGCTGTGGCATTTCATTCAATAAATATTTATTTAGATAAGCTTTTGCTTTAGTCTTTATTCCCTCCCTTTCTAGACATCAGACCTGCTTATTCCTTGTCTATTGATTTCATGGCAGATCCTGGGTAATATGGCTTTTTTAGTTGCTAGTCATAGACACTCACCTCAAAGTGGCTTAAAAGAGTAGGGGGTGGAGCAGGAGGGATTAATTTCATTGCACTAAAGAGCCAAGGGGTAGGTCTTCAGGCACTGCTGGATCCAGGGGCTCACGTGGTATCATTTGGTGTCTCTCTCCCTTCATCTCTCAGCACTGCTTTTCTCGGCATGAGGCGATTTTTTCAGGGAGGCCCTCCCCACGTGGAGGTCCCAGCAGCTCTGGTTTTACACCAGCCTTACAGTTAGTGCTCTGTATTAGGCAAGGAAGCTGTTCTTTTCTAGTAGTACCTACAGATATTCTGGGTTTGGCTCTGATTGGACAGACTTGGGTCATGAGAGCAACTCTGAACCAATCACAGTGATCAGGGGGATGGAATATGCTGATAGAGCAGGGCTGGGACATGCGTCCATTCAGGAACCAAGGGAGGGGGTATAGGTCAGCCCCACTGGTTCCACATCGAGTGGGGGTGCTGGGGTGCAGAGGGATGGGAGGGGGCTCCCAAAGGAATATGAGAAGAAAAGGAAATATATGTAGCGCAGACAAAATCAAATGCCTACTACTTGCCACAGGAGGGCATAAAGGCTTTAATTTGGAAACTTTTCTGCATCCCATGACAGTCAGCCACACCTGTCACTAAAGGTGGCATCACCTCTATTAGAGAACAAGGACTGCCTGTTCCTGCCAGTACTGGGGGTCTTAATATTAAGAGTTACTGTTTATTGAATGTTTCTTTGTTTCATGCAAGTATCTTATCATCTGTCCATGCTATCTACCCAGCTGGGTTCTGAGGCTTCAGTAATGAAGAATGAAAACGTCCCTGGCCTCCTGAAGTTTACTTTCTAAATGCAAGAGTCATTTGACAAGTGTATTAATTATCTGTTGCTGTGTAACAATTTACCACAAACTGTAGTCTTAAAAAAACACACGTTTATTATCTCACATTTTTGTTGTGTTGGGAGTTCAGGCATGGCTTAGGGGGGTCCTTTGTGAGACTGCAATTGGTATTGCCAGGGCTGGGTTCTCATTTGAGGCTCGACTGGGGAGGGATCCACATCCAAGCCCACATGGACATTGGCAGCATCCAGCTTCTTGCAGGCTATGGGACTGAGACCCTCAGTCCCTCTCATGGCAGCTCATAACCTGGCAGCTTGCTTCTTCAAAGCCACAAAGGGAGAGAGTCTTTTAGCAAGATAGACATTACATTCTCATACATTCTTACATGGTGTAATCACGTATGTGTAATCACATACATCCTGTCACTTTCGAGGTATTCTGTTGGTTAGAAGCAATCACAGGTCCCACCCTCACTCAAGAGGAGGAGATCACACAAGGGTGTGTATACCACAAGTGGGGATCATGGGCTCCACCTTACAGTTTACCTGCTACAAGTAAACAAAATATCAGGTTTTGATAAGTGCATTGAAGAAAGTAAAAGGGTGATAAATAACTGTGGGAGTCTACTTCAGCTCCAGCAATCAAGGATTTCTTCTCTCTGAAACAAAGAATGAGAAGTTGCCACCATGCCAAGAGCTAGGTCTTCCCAGCAGAGGGCACAGCAACACAAAGACCCAGGGACTGGAAGGAGCTCAGTGTGTTTAAGGAAAAGAAATGATATCAGTGTGGTTGGGTTTGGTGAGCAAAGCATAAATGGAGGAGAGAGGAGCCCATCATGCAGGACCTCATAAAGTAAGAAATTTATACTAAAGAGCAAAGGGAAGACGATGAAGAATTTTACACTTTCAATTAGGAGGAACACAATCAGAAAGATTTTTAAAGATCATTCCATGGCCAATGGATTGGGAGCTAGAAGGCCAGGTAGGTCTGTGGAGGCCCAGAGCAGAGGACAGTTGTGGCCTACCCTAGGGTGGAGGTAATGGAGACCTTCCTCATTTGGCGAGCCAGCAGCATTTGCTGATGGATTGTATGTGGGTGGTGAAGGAAAGGGGGACACACGGATGGCACCTAAATTTTTAACTTGAGCCAGTGGATAGACAATGACACTATTTTCTGAGATGGGGGCTGGATGAATATTCAAAATCTGCTTTGCACGTATTAAGTCAGATACACCTTTTTGACACCAAGAGGATGTGCCAAGTAGACAGTGGCTTAGAGAGTAGATCTGGGCTGGGATACAAGATTTGGGAGTATTTTCAGCGCTGAGAGCTTTACACAGCCCTCTTATTGAATGCTGTCCTGAGAGTAGCCAAGAGACCGTTTTAAAACATATTTCTGATCACGTAAACATCCTTGCTTCAAACTCTGCAAAGTCCAAGGTGCTTTCCCACTGCACTTGAAAGTGCTAGCTCCTTCCTCTCATGGATAAGACCCATCACAAGGTGGCTCTACTGGCGTCTCATTTTTCATAGTCCATCGGCCTCTGGATTTTAGAGGTGAAACTAAAGTTCAGAGCTGAAATGAGTCACCAGTTCTGCTAAGAAACGTGGCGTCTAAATCAAGGCTTTGCGATTCAGGCAGAATTCGTGCAGTTCTGTCTGTCACACCGCCTGGAGCCTCAAGCCTTTGCCGATCAAAGGAGAATAATGTACAGAACCAAGCATAGCGCCTGCCACAGAACAGGCCCATAAACGATAGTTGTCACAATGCACGCTGCACCATCATTTAAAACTGAGTGGAGCAGGAATGTGTAGAAGGCCCACTGCTAGCCAAACTTGGAGGAACGTTAGGACTCACTGGTCATTCGAAAGGTATCGTTGGCCTTTTAGACATAGTTCAATGTGTGGCTCATTTGGAAAGGTAATTAATCCCCAGAGCATGAAAACTGTGACTTATACAGTCAGAATGTTAATTTATCAGTATGTCTAGGTGTTTGTTTTTGCCATGTGTTGGTGCTATCTTAAGCCCTCTACACATCAATACATGTTTTCAGTCAATCCTCACTACCATTTTAGAGATGAGGAACCGAAAGATGGAGAGGTTAAATTGCCAAATTGCCAAGGGCACACAGAAACAGAAGTGGGATTCAAGCCCAGTTTGCCTGACTGCAAAACCACCCTTGTGACCAGCGTGCTCTTAAATGTTAACTCCTCTCCCTGCCTTTGAGACATTCTGGGATTTGGACCCATTCCCTAATATATATTGTCTGAGACAGTCCCCATAACCTTTGCTGCTGTGTCGAATAACTTCGGAATTGCTATTTTCATAGAATGGAATGCGACTGGTTAGCCCCCCTAGAGTTGTGCCCAAAGAAGTACTGTTTCAATCACCACTCCTGCACGGCTTCTATTGTCTGCTCCTCATAGAACAGGAAATTCAGGCCAGAAGTTGTGACACGCTGGCGAGGCATGATAAGGTATGAGTTGTCACAAGAAGTTTGAGGATACTAACGATACTTTCATTTATGTTTTGCTCTGCTTCTTTGAGCAGGAGAGAAAAGGTAGAGCTAGAAGTGGGGTGGAATTTGAGAATAAGCTCCATTCTCTCACTTGTGCCACAGCACCCTCAAAACACACATATGTGCACACACACACGTACTCTGAGTGATTAAACATGCGTGTGCACACACACATATTTACCCCGAGTGATTAAACATGTGTGTGAGCACACACACACACCCTGAGTGATTGGTAAGAGTTGTGACAATTATGAATTATTGAGGTGCTTTCTTTGTCTTCCTGGGAGAAAGGAAGGAGGTTGGCATTACATCCAAATCTTGTAGTATGCCTCTTGGATATCTTGTTATGGTGAATATATCCATCGTGTGTGGTGGAAAAGTTGAAAATCAATGATGTTGAAACATCCCCCTCCACACCTTCCATGACCCAGCTCAAGGCTTGTCCCTCCATGAAGTCGTGTCTCACTTATGAACACCATTTCTACACTTACAGCCCTTGTGGACCAGGCATGGTGAGCAAGTGACAACCTCTCTGTGTGTTGATTTCCTCAGTCTGTAATGAGAATGCCGCCCACCTGAGTCATTGGGAGACTGAGGGAAGTGATCTCCAAATTATAAACGTGCTACAAAACAGTAGAATGATTACACCCTTGCTTGACTAGGTTGTCTCCTGTTTGGTGCTATTCCCTTATATTGTCCTTCCTCCACCCTCCCTACCAGTCCCCTCTCTGTCAGTGCTCAGGGATGGGAACTGTCTCTGTCTTTCACTTCACAGTCATGCATTGAATAACAACATTCCTGTCAATGATGGACCGCATATACAACGGTGGTCCCGTAAGATTAGTACCACATAGCCTAGGTGTGTAGTAGGCTATACCATTTAGGTTTGTGTAAGTACTGTAGGGAAGGAGGAAATTTTCTTCTACCCTTCTAGGTGGTTCTGGCTGGTCTAAGAATTAAGTTGACATGAGACAGATTAACAGAAGAAAAACAAAAAAAGTTTAATAACATGTATACATGAGAGAAACCCAGGAAAATCGAGTAAATCACCAACATGGCCAAAGCCCTCACCTTAAATACCATCCTCAGCTAAAGACAAAAGAAGTTGTTGGGGGTGGGGAGAGTAAGAGACTTCAAAGGGAAGGAAGGCAATTCACAGGTAGGTGAAAAGGAGCAAATGTTTGGAAAACAAGTGTTTGGCCATGCAGAAACAGAAGAACACAGAAGGAGCCCAACAAACAGGCTTTTCTAGGTTCCTCCCTGTCTACAACCTAGTTCATGTTATGCTAAGGTGATAACTTGCTTCCTGAGACAGGCTTTTTTTATCTGAATTCTTTTAGGTAGTTAGGGGGGAGGTAACAAGAAACACTTTCTGAGTCTTTTTGTTTTTTAAAAATAATCAGCCTAAAATAATCCTCATGTTAAAG